AAAAATTAAAAAATAAGGTGAGTATAATATAAAAAATTTAATTAAAATTTTTTTAATAATTTTTAAATTTTTTTAATAGTTTTCATGTGACTTTCTTATCTCTAAATTATTTTGTAGAATAATTATTAATTTTTTAATCATTAATATAATAATAAAAAATAAAAAATTATTAATCAAAAAATATAAAAATAATTATTCAGTTAAAACCAAATTCAATATGAATTGCTACTCTTAAAAATTAACCCAAAACCCAGTCATACTAATTTACTTAATTAGTTTTAAAATTTAACTCTTAAAATTTTAATTAACTAATAATAATTTAGTCTCAGTTACAATTAAAATCACACCTAGCCTAATAATACTTATTCTAAAAGTTATTAATTTACTAAATGAAGGACAGGATTTTAATTGAGAAAAATACCACTCTTTCATAGGAAATAAAAAAAGGGGGATCGGAATTTACTAAAATATTCCTTAAATACGACTAGTATTACTTATCCCTAAATTTTGCAAACAGCGTGATTATGGGCCAGGGATATATTAAAAAAAAAAAAAAGTCAGGTCGTCGGACGCGGCGAAAGTACGCCGCACCGATCGAAACGCGGTTATGTCGAGGACAGATATAATTATAATTAAGGGAAATTAATTCACTAATTCCAGTTAATTTCGGATCGGAAAATAACCCAAAAACAAATGAATCTGATGAAATCGAGAAGAAGGTACGTACGTACGTACCTGAACGTCAAATTCAATGTAATCAATGGGAAATTTTGCAGCGGCGATGAAGGAGGTGATGGAGTTCTCTTTAATGGCTCTCATCCTCGCATCAGAACTATGCAATATGTTCATCCCGTGCCCTCTGTGCCCTACCACCAAGAACTTGGGGATTTTGAAGGACGAACTCTTTAACTCCACGCCTGTATATACGTATATATATATATATATGTATGTATTAGACAAACTAATTACATATTTATTTTTCGGAAGAAGAATATACGTAAGAAGAAGAAGATGATGATGATTACCTTTAGAGAAGCGGGCGGAGTAAACGGAAGGGTTTTGAGGGACGTGGTCGAGGGTGGGCACGTCGGAGACATGGATGGCTTTAAGCGCCATTGTTAGACAGGAAGTGGGCAAGGGGAAGGAGGAAGAAGGAGAAGGAAAAGGAAGAGGAGGATTGGGAAAAGAAGAGAGAAATTGGGGCTTAATGTTGCTAAAGAAGAGAATCGAAGAAGGGGAATTTATGGAGGAATGGGGGGAGATTGGGAGCCAAACGGGAGAAGATCTCCATTGGAGAATGGAGAATATTCCCATCCCAGTTCTCCCGCATTATGCTTTGGATATTCTCATACTAATTATTATTATTATAATTTTTAATTTTTAATTCCCCACCTCGCCCTGCCCTCCCTGCACCGTTCCTTTTCATTATGTTTGGTGTAGTTGGTGAAAATTTTTTTTGGATTTAAAAATTTTTAATTGTATTAAATATTATAATTTTTTATAAATTAATATTTTATTTATTTTATTGTAAATTTTATAAGTATCAAATTGATGTTTTTATAAGAATTTTTTAATTAAATTTTAATAAAATTAACATTTTATTTTTATTTTTTTAATTTTACGAATATAACACTGTTACAACAATTTTTTTTTTTTAACATAACCTCAATAAAAAGTTTCAGTCTTAATGTCTACGTCTACTGTCCGCTAAATCGCTAAAAATTCCTTAAATTAATCTTTGGGTTGGGTTCGATCTTGTGTCCTAAATTTTTTACTATATTAT